GGGAAAGAGAAACTGGGGAGTGTGAGCATCTCTTAAAATGCTCAAAATGTTTCCAAGCAATGTTCAGACCAGAGGCAGAACCACAGGCCACAAGTGTGCAGCTCCTGGACATTAAGTCTTTCAAAAGTGGGCACGTTGACTTAAGTGCAAGGTCATATCCTAATCTGGAGGATTTAAGAAAATGTGAAGCGTAGTGTCTTTTAAAAACTAATGCACCCTTGAAAGTGTTAACTTGGACTGGAATTGCTTAGAACTCAAAATAAACATCTCTTTAAGTAGTATTTTATTACAGAATTTCAAGAAAGAAAGTATCAAAGTGTAAAGATAGAAGGCATTGATATTCACTCAAATCCTAGAGACAAAATGATTTTCTAATACCTACCTCTACTAAATCAAAACAATTTTTAATAGTTTCAGCCATCCCAGAGATCAATTCTGATAAAATATTTGGCATGCTATTAAGTGACTGGGTGTTGAAATCCTACTTCCTTTTCATTTTCTTCCACAGAAGGAAAATATGGACTGTGCGTATCAAAAATCAGTGTCTCTAGGAAGTTGAGGGTTTGGGACAGTCTTCTTGGACACTCGATCCCAAATACATGGAAGGCAGCTATGAGAGTGGCCAAGGCTGTAATACAGTCATCCACCTTTGTGAGTCTCTCTTTTTCTAAATACAAAGAAAATTCACAGACATCCATGTTGAAAGGGTTCTTAACTTCTAACACGGGTGTGGACACTTGCACCTGAAAAAAAAAAGATTACAGTAGTCACCACCCCATGATGTGTAAACTAGCTAAATAATACAAGATGCCTCAATCTAACCATGCTATTACAATATATGAGCTTGTTGCAATTTAGCATTATCTGTAAATATGACAAAACATAACTTCAAAATAGGCCACCATCCTGCTTCAAATAAATAATCATATAAAGATATGAAATCTCAAACCAGTGATCATTGAAATACCGCATACCTTCTCATTCACAATGACAAAAAGGCTGGGATCCTCCCCGAAAACATCTGGTAGGAGTAAACAGGTGGCTGTCATCTTCATATCTGTCAAAGCAAACAGGCGCACAGTCCAAGTAAAAATAAGCTCTTACCAGTTGTTGTAAGTAAAGCCAGTATCAAAACATGTGGATTTTTTTTTTTTTGTTACCTTCTACAGAGAACAAACTAGCCTTCTTAGATCACTGTTTCCCTACCATTTTTTAAACCAACATCCCCTTCTAATAAACACTCAAGATCTCCTGTTCTGCCCTCCAGATCACTGCCAGGAGAAGATAAGAGTTCTGTACTCTCTGTCCCTCAGCCAGGGTGATTTCACTGTACTCTACCTTGTGGCTTGTAAATTACCTTGTGGCTTGTAAATTACCTTGTGTATGAAATTAACAGGTTACTAGTTTCCTAAATATAATTTTACAATATCAAGTGTACTTTTAAAATCTACACCTCAACTCCTAGTTGAGAAATTCTTTTTTCTTTCCCACATGTTGTTTCACTGAATTCTACACAGCGTGGATTTCCTAATTATCCTCACACAGATAACTGAGACCAGATCACCCTATCCCTTAGGTTTACTAACGTTTCAACATGTCTTCATCTGTATGCTGTTTCATTTTTTCTTGCAATGCAATATTGATTGGATTGTCCACCAAAGAAAAAGAAGCCAGTATATTTTCTGAATAGGATTCCAAAATGTGCCTTGTTTTCTTATAAATATCTGTTCTTGTAAGAAGTTGGAATTCTCTGAACAGCTGAAAAAAGAAAAAGATCACAAGAAAAGCTAATGTATAGAATGTAAGGAAGTAAATTACTCTTCAGAATTATATTAAGCTCTGAATGTTAGTTTATATACTAGATATTTGATTAGCTTTAGTGGAGAAGTATAAAGACTTAGGACGGAGGAAGAGAAAAGAATGAAAGCCTGAAGTGAACTGTCAGATTTCAGGAAGCAAACCTTGAAAAATTCCTGACCATGGTATCCTATAGGGAAAAGAGCTTTAGAAACTCTGTAGGATCAGACAGAAATAAAGGGTGAAAAACAAAATGAGTCTAGGAGATTTGACTACAAGGTGAAAGCAAAAACAGTTTACCTGTATGGAAACCCCTTT